AGTGGACATTTCAAGCAGCATCTTAACTACTTGGCTGTGCCAAACACCTGCCCCAAGGCTGCCCTTTAGGACCACTGAGGGTCTCAGTATATCTTCCGTGGTTTAGTTGCATCCCTGCCCCTGGCCAGAATGGGTTTTGCATAACCCAGAAGGCCTGGGTGGCAGGTTGAAACCCCTCTAGCTGGGCTGCTGGGGAGGCCCCTGGCTGGGATCCCTTGTGCCAGGTCAGGCTGAGAAGCTGGGTAGTGGCTTAATCTTAGCTTTGGGGACCTTGAGTTTCAGAGTGTTGTGATGCAGAGTCCTTTAAGACTCCTACTTGGGTCACCCTGGCCCTGGCCAATTCCCACAGGGGTTCTGGCTGGCCTTGGAAAGGTCTGAGAAGCTCTAGAGTGTACACATGAATAGGGTGAGGCTGAAGGTCACAGCCATGGACAGAGATGCTAAGGATCGCTCCCTCCATGTGGCCATTGTGCATCCAGAGAAAGCCTGCATACTAAGGTTAAATCAGAGGCACTGTTTGCTGGAAGAAGGGGGTCTGAGCAATCCCCTCAGCATGCTGTGACCTGTGTGTGCTGCATCCATCTGGTGTGGTGTCTCCCATCTGGCAATCCCAAGATGACCTTAAGGGGTATGAGGACACAGACTGAAATAGCCTAGCTCCATGAAGAGCTGGTGCTTTTCCTGGGTTAGCCTTTCCGATCTCATCAGAGGGAGGTCCCTGGTAGGTACAAACGGGTCTCCAACTCCAGCTGCCCGCCAGTGTAACAGAGAGGGTGAGTAAGGACCATAGCCTGCAGCCAATCTAAGACACAGATAGAATGTCACTGTATGGTTTTGCTTTTACTTGTATCTGTTTTATGGTGTCTATGTAGTGGATGACATATCACAGTCCATCTATGTTCTAATCCTTGGGGGTCTGGTTTGGAAACAGGAAGTGATGTTTAACATTTGAAATGAAGTCATCATGGACCAATACAAGGAAGACGGGGACTCTAACACAGAGTCCCAGAGACAGTGGAAACAGCATCGGGTGTGACTTACCTGTGAGATGCCCAGGACCTGCCTGCAGGACAGAGATGAGAGGCGGATTCCCCCTTGGAGCTTTGGGAAGGAAGCAGCCCTGTTGACACCTTGAGCTTACACCTGTGGCCTCCAGAACCGAGTCGTTGCATTCACCATCAGTCCTCACAGCTGCCCTGGGCGAGGAATGCAGCAAGGGGCACTGGCCTTACCTCCAGCATTGAGTTTAAGAAGTCAGGCAATGACTTCAGAGGTAAGGTGGGTGTGGGTCTGGGTAAGCCCAGGTGGCTGAGCTGGGTAAAGCTGGGTTGCGGGCAGTGGCCCAGGAAAGAGTGGGGTAGGGGGTGATGAGCAGGGCCCTATGGCTGTGCAAGGAAGGGGAGCCTCTCCTGCTGGCCTGTGTGGCCGCCTTGAGTGAGTCCTGGGGAGCCCCTGGTGGCTCTGTGATTCAGAACCCATCTTCTCTGGAGACAAACTCTTTGGATGTTGAGGTTTTTTTCTTCCCCTTCCCTCAAGTGCCTGGAAGCAGCAGGCCGGGAGGGGAGGGGGTTTCCAGCAGCTGCCTGGCTGGGACTGGGCCTTTCCCAAGTCACTTGCAGGTAAGATACTGCCACCTGCCCTCACCTGCTCCCTTCTGCCTGTGGCCATCAGGACGCACATCCTCCTGCTGCCAACAGCTGGTCTGTGGCAGGTCCCTATCAGTGGACACTGGCTTTTCTTCTCTTCCCAAAGCTGAGGACACTGCGAGGGCCAGAGGAATGATGGGTTTTCCTCCAAAGCTGGTAAGGCAGAGGATAAAAACACGCATGTCCGGGACCTGTGCAATGGGCATAGTCAGATTCAATCCCAAGGACTCGAAGGCCAAGTCTGGAGGAGGGGGCATGGTTCTGGATTAGGGATGAGTGTTCTGGAAGATTTCAACTCATTTACCTCTGCAAAATGCTGCTTCCTCTCTTCCTGGTCCCTGCCCAGAACAGTCCTGGGCTTCAGGCTGTTGAGCCATACTCAGACTCACACGCTCCCTCTGTGTGAAGATAGCCCTCACACGCAGCAGCTTCTCCCACCCCCAGGGATGGGCAGGGAGGGAGGGAACCTCCAGTACCTGGGATTCCCTGGTCCTGCCTGTCCTAAGGCCATCTCCCACCTTCGCCGTGGGCATCTTAGCAAGCTTTCCTAGCATGATGTTGACGCATTTGTGTCCATGTATTCAAGGGCACAGACCTTGGCCTAGAATCAGGCATCCATGGACATGGCCAGCGGGCTCTGACCCCAGTCTGAGGGACCTGGAGACTTGGCAAGCCCAGGGCTTGTGGTCAGACTTCCAAGGAATCGACCTGGCTGGCTGTCAGAACAAGGCTGGGTACCCAGCACAGCCCTGCCTTTAGTGGCCACTTCTTCCTTCCATGTTTACCCAGCCTTCGGTGCAGGGGCTGTCCTTGCATTCCCTGTGCTAAGTTTGGGTCTGCTTTCAAGACCCACAAGTGTCCAGGCATTTCTAGAACAGGTTTAAGCTGCAGTGTCAGGTGGCCTGGGGACAGTGTTTATAGGGCACATGCTAGTGTTTGCGGAGTGTTCCAGAATGGGTAGTCCTCGGACTGGGGAGTGCCTAAGCTGGGGGAAGGGGGAGCAACTGCCCCTTCCCCAGGTACAGAACCCAAGGCTGAGATGTGGACTCACCTGTCGGGCAGCTGAGGGATGCAGATCCTGGAGACCAAGTGGGGGTGGGGGATCACACCTTCTGCATGGAGCTAATTGCACCTGAGCCACGTCCACTCCATCCATTTGAGCAGCCATGACAGATGAGGTGTCAGTAGCTAGGGGCATCTCGCCACAGCGCCCAGGAGCAGCACACCACATTCTTGGTAGCCTTTTTCTCTTTTATTGCCAAGATCAAATTTACAAGGAAGTTCCAGTTTTCATTTCCACCCTCATGTTCAGTACCCACGAAGCATGAGTCACATGGGCAGACGCGGGTACTTCCCAAGAACAGCCCAGAGGCCCAGGAGCGCTGCGTTCTCCCAGCCCCTGCCTCTTCCTGGGACAAGTTATTTACATAGTCTCAGTTCAAGGAAACACAGGGAATTCAAATCATTGCTGCCTGATGTCAGCATGACTGCATCCAACAGCTCATACTTATTGCGTCTATGAGAGGACCAGAGTCGGCTTGTCCCATGCCTCTATGCCTTGGAGAAATGCAGTGCGTGTTCAGAGGTGTGGGTGGTCTGCCCCCGGATGGCTTGTTGTCCCAGAGGCTGGGGTGTAGGAGGTAGCCCCCTGTGGTCAGCAGATGAGGCAAGGCGCCACTGCTTACTGGAGGGCTGGCCCTACCCCCACCCCAACCCAGCCTGGCTTTGCAGCTGGCCCCTGCTCGTGCAGAGAGGCCCTTCCCCTTGCCCTGTGACCTGTCTGGAGAGGAGCCCTGGCATGCCCAAACCTCCAAAGCAGAAAAGGGATGTGCATGTCTCCACAGCAACCCTCAAAACCCAGGTATAGAGAGTCACATGGCAAAGCTAGCTCCAACACAACAAACTCAATAAGACCCACAGGGAACTTGGGGAGGGGGACCGGGGTGGGTGGTGAATGCCCTGCAGCGATATGGAGGGGTCCTAGCCCCAGTGTGGCTCTCCTACACCCTCCTGGCTTCATCCTTGGAGCCCCGTGTGGGCCAGCCAGTGTGTTCTGTCTGTGAGGGCTGTCTGGTGTGTCAGTGTTCCTGAAGATGCACCTGCAGCCGCTCCACCCAGTCAGCAGAGACAGGGTCTTTGCACAGGGCCCAAGGCTGGCTACCTCCACCCCCACCCCTTCCGACTCTCAGATCTCCTAATACAAGGATGCATGCTCCTGTTCCCAGGCAGTGCCTGGGACCCACCCCACACCTGCTAAGTGAGCTGCCAGCCCCCTGCAGAGCCAAGGCCTGGGAACCCTGTCTCTGTCCTTGAGGATAAGGCAGGAACCCTGGCACACGACAGTTGGTCCTCCCAGGCATGCTGTCACCCCTGCTGTGGCCATTCTCAGTGAGAGCTGGAAGCACTGGATTTGCGTGGTAGGCTGCAGGTCCCAGAGGGCCTGGGCATGGCTGCTGGGGCTCCAGACCTTTCTTCACAGAGGTACGCTGCGTAGGGAAGTCATAGGCCACTCTCATCTCTGCTGCCAAGAATACAGGCATTTAAAACTGGGTGTGGGTGGTCAGGGGCAGGTCTGTTCCCATGTCCACTCACCTCCACGAGAGATCAAACAAGACCCATGGCTGGGTCCTGGGGGTGCAGGTGCTGTGTCACTTGAGAATGTGGGTTCTGGTCCCAATGACCGCTCTTCCCCTTCTCACTGGGCTCAGCTACCTCCTTGCCACTGGGACTCTTCTCTGCTCCGGCAGAAGTGGGAGCCAGGTGGGCCCCTGTTGGGGGGCGTTTGAGACCTGGGGCGATGACTGCACTCTTCCTGAAGCTGGGATCTGATCTTGGCAGATGCTGCCTGATGCTGCTGGTTGGGCAGAGGGATGAGAGAGGGTGGTACTCTTGGGACAAGTGGCTGGTGGCACCTCAGAGCATCACCTGAGGCTGCCTGCCGATGAGCTGGGCTTGGGTGGACATCCTGGTGAACACATCCATGGTGGCCTGGGGAAGGTCTTGTCACTGAGCACAGGCTGCCAAGTGCAGAGGGACACCTTGGGGGTCTTGCCTGTGCGTCCAGATCCAACAGGGCGTTCACTTGAGAAGGGCCTTTGTCCTGGGAGCTGGCACAGAATGGCTGCCCTGAGCCATTTCCACTATAGCCAAGGGGCCTGCAGTCTCCATGAAAACAGTAGGTGCTGTTTTACACACGGCAATGAGGCAACAGGTGCCATGGGTACCAGCAAACAGCTCCTGCTTGGTTTCAGTGGGCAGAGGTGCGGGAGGAGTGGGCAGCGGGAGCTGCTGTGGTCTTGCTTTGCATGGAAAGCTCTCGATTAGGCAGGAAATCCACCTTCCTGGGCCTGTGTGTACCTGAGAATGCGGGTGTCTCCCTAACTTTTGGTTCAAAGAGCATCTGAACTTTTCAGCAAGGTACTTAGATGTTCCACAGGGTTGCAGAGTTAGGGAGCAACATGGAGATAAAAAGAACCAGTTTTTAAAATGGGGGAAGTTATGCTGAGAACTCTACAGGGGAAAAATATTGGAAGTTCAAGGGAAAACAAAAACAAAATCTTAACAGTATTATTACACTTTTAACACAGCATCAAACTGTGGGGTTGGGTTTTTTTTGGACTTCTTCCCACATGGATGCTTTTTAAATAATCATGTTTCACCTATTGCCAAAGGCAGAAATAAATAGCCAAAGGAGATGTTGGTCTATGCACTTTTCTATCAGCTTCTGAGCCGGGTCCTCCTGGGCCCACGGAGGCTGGGACACAAGAGGCCTGGAGGGAGTGGGGGTGCCGGTGGGTCCTGCCCCCGGGGCTGTCAGCTCTGAGCTGTAGCCATCACCACTGCCAAACTTAGCTGCACAAGCCTGTTCCTGCAGATGTGCACAATGAGAAAGAAATCCAGTGCTGAGCACGCTGTCTTGAATGTGAGGGGCACGGGAGAGGTGATGCAGCTGTGCAGGCTTGTGGGTGTTCCCCCGGGGTCTTGCTGGTTGCCTGCACTGGGGTCCCTACCAGTGGGGCCACACGCACCAGGAGAGATCCTGGTGCCAACTTAGTGTTCAGTGCACGCAGCCTCCTCATCCTGGGCTGCAATGCACCCTGTGGCGGGCACGGGAGGTAGGGGCATGCCCGTGAGGCTGTGGAGGCTGTGAGGGTCAACAGGTGGCACGAGGGTCAGCGAGTCGACACTCAGCGAGTCGGTGGTGTCTTCATAGAGCAGGGAGATGGTGGGCTGCTGTGCGGGGAGCAGGCTGGGGGACAGGTGGGCTGTCTCCACTTCTGTGCCCCTGGCCAAGCTCTTGCTGGGCTTGGAGTTGGCTTCTGTTTCATTGACGATCACCAGCTGGTCAGGAAGGTGTGGCTGAGGCTGTTCTGTAGTCGTGGGGGCATCTGGGTTGGGATGAGGGGAGAAAAAATAGGGGTACACTTGGTTCTGGATAACCTGCTGTGCTGATGCCCACTGCTCCTGTACTGGGAAACTGGGGTGGGAGATGGCTGGGGGTGGGGGTAGGGGCGGTGTGTGGCCTGGCTCTACTTACTCCAGTGTTATCTAGGCTTGGGGAAGCAGGTCAGGGTCCATGGCTAGCCCTGACCATGAATGAGGGAACTTTGGATTAAGAAAGGAGAGTCCAGGCAGGCGTCCTGTCCTGGGGGTTCTGGATCACAAACCTGACCATGAACTTGTGTCCAGAAGTAAATGGGCTTGGAGTGGGGCAGGGGAGGGTGTGCTTACAACCTCAGGCCATTTTCAGAGTCTACATTTGGGGACATTCACCTGAGAGAGAGCCCACTGCAATATTAAATAATAATAATAATAATAATAATAACAATAATTTCTGTGGAATTATTCAGCTCACAAAGCCACACTAGAATCTTGGACTGTGGCCCATTTTCTCTAAGTGCTGAGTCAGCACGGAGGGGCAGGGACTACCTAGGTGGGCCAATGGGGAGAGAGAAAGGCAGGCCAGAGTGGTGTGTTCCCATAACCTGAATGATACTACAGACAGCCCACCCGCCTTCCCAGCGAGGGGTTGATCTGAAGACGACACCTGCCACGATGAGAGATGCTGGGCATCTGGAGAGATGGGGGCAGCAGGTGGTGGGTCACCCACTGGGAAGGCAGACTCGGACTTGCCCAGACCCTGGGGTCAACCAGCGGCTGCGCAGAACATCTGGGCCCCAGGGAGAGGGCACTTGGACTTTCAGTGTTGCTGTGCAATGCACATTTTTCCCTATTATTTTTTAAACCAAGCCAAAATAAAACAGAAAGGCAAACTGAACAGAGAGTAAAACAAAGAGCAAAGTAAAACCCAACAGCAGCTAGTCGGGGAGGGAGGGACCCATGGAGGTAGCACAAGCGGCAGACGGGCCCCAGGGCACACATCGCATTTCTCCCCACAAGACTCCCCAGGCTCTCAGAGCTGCCAATCCAGTTCCTCCTAAGGCCTTAAAAAAAAAAAAAAAAAAGAAGAAGAAGAGAAAGAGGGAAGGTCTGGAGATATCCAGGGCACGGGGCTTGGCCTCATCCCGAGAGCCTGGGTACCCTTGGGTATCAGTTAGAAAAGTGAGCGGACGCAGTCAGAGCCAAGACATGCTGAGTGAATACTTGCTACCTGTAAACTCTGCTTCTCTGGATTTCCATTCATTTGCTCCTTTCAGTGAGGACGCTTAGAGGGGCTGGGCCAGGGCCTGCGCAGGCTCAGCTAGGACCTGAGCTGGGGCCATCCAGCTTGCTGTTGTCAGAGTACGGCTCTCTGAGCAGGACCCATCTGCTCTGGCAGCCTCCACTACGTTCACCTTCAGTGGGCATGGGACATGGACTCGGGCCGACAGGAAGGGAGTCACTCCCCGGCTCCCTCAAGCTCTCTCAGAGCTGCTACGTGTGAGTCCCCTCCCGGCTCTGTGTACAGTTATTAAAGAGGCTGGCCAGCCTCTCTCCCTTGTGGGAGTTTTAACGAGGAAAATAATCAAGGATGTGGGAAAGTTATAATCAGAGCGATCAAAAAAGCAAAACAGCAAACAATGCCAGGCACATAAAACCGGTCACTTCTTAAGGAAAAGAACCAACCATTTGTATTAGAAGTGTGGTTATTCCCTTAAAAAACAGCTTCTTCCCTAGTGTCTGCTGTAATAAGGAGCCATGACCACTTATCCACCACCCCCAACACTGCCTCGTCTTTTTCCTGGACTGGGGAGGGAGAGCTGGGCTCGGGTCAATCACCAGGTTGCAAAAGCTCCAGTGGAGGCCTTGTCCTCACCAGCCTGCTGGGGGCTTCTTAGTTTCTGGGCCGCAAATTAGGGGCTGGGCCAAAACACCAAGGATCTGCAGGAACGTTGCATTCATTGGCCATGGCGTGAGCCAGGGATGGGCCTCCACAGACATGCAGGCAGGGGGTCGAGCCTTCCAGTGCCTAGCCAATACCCTCAAGCCACTCATCTGTAGCCTCAACTGGCGCCTGGCAAGTGCGTGAGCCCAGCTTTGGGCTCCTGGAGCCTGAGCCAGCTCACGTGGAGCTGAGTGATGTTGGGGAGAAACCGAAAGTACCTGACAGCGAGCTTGAGGACCAAGCGCAGAACAAATCACTTTGAAACGAAAAAGAAGGCGTAAGGGTCTCGGCCGACAAGTGCAACTGCCCCCAAGACAGGACTCAGCCAGAAGGACAGAAGGAATGTCTGGGAGAGGGCAGCAACGTGGCCCTGACCGGTGCTGGGGCCTGGCCAGGGCCTTGACCCCAGGCCCTGACAGGGTCAGGGCCATAGGAGCTCCATCACACAGTGCACTACTCAGAGAAATAGCTGTTGGCCTCTGGCTGGTACCACACTAAACCTGTTCCCGTTGGCTTTCAGCAAGGCTGGGGAAGGGAGAGGGGAGGAAAAGGAAAAAGAAGCTGGGTGCCCTCCCGGTGGCTTTGCATAGATTCTCAGTTTTCTGGCTAACTGTTCCCCAACTCTCACAGCCTACCCTGGGGCACCTGTGGGGACTTGGAGAGGTGGGGCTTGGCCTGTACTTGGGTGTCTGGACTGGGGCGGCCCTGTCAGATCTCATGCTGTGCCACATCTCATGGACAAGGGCAGCTTCTAGTGTGGCTCAGAACTGATGGGGGTGATGGAGGGCTGAGGACAAGATGGAGAAGGGCCTGCTTAGAGGGAGCAGAGGGTGTGAATGACATTCTCTGCTTGCCTGGGGCATCCTCAGAGGGGTTCCCCTTGCTGGTGCAGTGGGAGGAGTCGCGGGCCCATGGGGGCTAACGGAGGAGACCTGCCTGAATTGAGTGTGCGTGGGTTGCCGTGGCAGCTGCTGGTCGAAGCACTAAACCCAGTGGCCGCCGTGACTGTCGGCCTCCGACAGGCTGAACACTCGCCGGCGTCCTTTCCTGCCACTCCTGACTAGAGGGAAAACACAGTGACAGATCATAGAGAGCCTTTCACAACGGGTCAGCGCAGCTGATGTGGGACGGGACACACAGTGGCAGTGGATGCCATGTACCAACCACGAGAGGTGAGGCACGGGAAGGTGGGACCCGGCCCTGGCCCTCCATGCAGAGCAGATAACCCCCCTCAACTCCACTCCCCAGGACAAGGCAAGGACAGGATATTGCACAACCCAGGTGATCTCGTGGGTATCCTGTGCAGGTAAGGACAGGGGAGGTTCGGCCCTGCAGGAAGGAAAAGATCAGGGGTCGTTGGCAACAGCTGGTCCCAGCGCAGGCTGCAGCAAAACATGAGTGTCCACCTATTTTCACTTTGGACCAGAGATGGAGTAATGGAGTCTCTGCATGTCCGGGGCATCCTGAGCAGAGAAGGGCATGTGGCTGGGGGCTTAGGGCCAAACCAGCTAAGTGAACCAAGCCGATTTTTGAGCCCGGAGGAGAAGGCTGATGGTTTGTAGTGTTAGTGTTGGCTAAAGGAGGCAGTCTGGCTCTGCAAGTTCCGGGAAGGCCCAGGCTGCCTGACATACTCCACACCCTGCACCCTCTGTTCTGCTTGGGAAGGGAAGGCGACCCACAGATCTGCCCTGCTGTGTGCCAGAAGTGGGTCACAAGCGGAAACGCTGAAGCTGGGCACCCGGGGCCCCAGGGCCAGTTGTGGTTGGCTGAGACAAAATGTTTGAGCATCTCACTGCAGAGGAAGTGGCCATCAGCACCGTGTCTGAGAGACACAGTGGAGTGTAGCACAGTGCCCAGGAGGCACACCATGGGGCAGCACAGGCAAGTGCTCCCAACTGCCTGGGGCTGCATGGAACAAAGGAGGACATGGTACAAGATGCTATGCATGTTCTTCCACACACACAAAGCCAGGGAGAATAGACAACACTTCCTCTGCTCAGATGAGCCCAGGGAATAAGCTGCAGGGATGGCGGCCGAGAGGATGTTGGGTGTTGGAATGAGACTGCCTGCCTCTCTCCCTCCTGCTCTGTGTGTGGTGGAAGAGTCACAGGTGGCCATGGCTCAGAATCCAGGACACTTTACAAACACACGTTTATATTTAAAAGGGTGATATGCCTTTCACTCTGATGTCATTTTCCAACGAGTAGCTCACCCTGCATGTGTCTGCCCGGGGAACTCTGCAGGCTGCAGAGCCATCATCTGAGGACGTGGCTTTCTCATCAGCATCTTGCTCTGTGAGTCACTGTACGAGTGTGCATGTACCTACACATGCACAGACATGTGTATGTGTGTCTGTGTGAGCATGTGTATTTATTTGTGTACGTCACTGTATGTGCTCATGGCTGTGTATATGCACAGGGACAACCCAAAGATGTTTCTAAAGTATTCCTACTTTTCCCACATTCGATTCTAAAATTATTCTTTCTTCCCTTTCCCGCCATATGTTCTATGCAATTTCAGCTTCTCAAAACCATAAAGTGTTTAAGGGGAATAAAACACTGACTCCAACCCTGTCATTTTCTCACGCGGGGATGGGGCTGAGGCCTCTTGGGGTGGTTATGGTGGATGTGTGGGCAGCCAGAGGCCTGTCTCCTGGACCCGTCCCAACACAGGGCATTCAGCTTTCCCTAGCAGGCACTTGGACCTCAGGGCACTTTATCTAAAGGGTAGGGGGTAACAGACAGATTGGGGCTTTGAGTGTTGGTACTGGCTATGCAGGACCCCCAATGAGGAAGGTAAAGTTCCTTTATTCCCACAGACTTTGGCTGGACCTTCTGTTCATCAGGGAATTCAGTCTTGTCCTCCTACTGGGCCAGGCCAGCACTCACTAAAAACCCACTGCAGAATGTCCACAGCTCTGCTCCCGGCATGTGAAGGAGGCGTAAGCAGGTGCTGATGGCACAGATGCCAGTCCCCTCCCTGCAGCTGAGGAGTCGGCATGCACCGGGCCTGCAAGTCTGGCCTGAAGTCACTGCTAGGTCCAAAACCTTGGCCTTCACGGGCCCGAAAACTGCTTCTCAAAGACAGACTGTCCTGCATCCTGCCCCCAGGCTGTATTTGGAAGGAGAGAATTAAAAGGGACCTAGAGAGACAGGGACAGAGAGCGGAATCACTGATCCAGCAAGATGGTGGGCTGGCATGCTGGTGGACTCCTGTGGGAAGCCCGTATTCTTGGGCTGCCCTCCCTGTACTGTAGCTGGTGACTGCACGCTCACTGTGTGAGCACCTCAGGGTCCTGGTCACATCCACTCTCTTGTGAGATCTACGCTTTGCCACCCACATCCCTAACACCTGCATAAAGGGCGGTCTAGACATAACACCTGTTTGTTTAGAGAAAATGAATGCCACGAAAGTGGGTTTTTTTCCCAGCAAAAATCCTCATACAAGTCAAGTCTCCAACACCATGGAGCAGAATCAGAAAACCAGGCTTGTCTTGTCACTGGGCGGGTGACATCTCTCATGTATGCATCCAACTGGACGCTGAGCAAAATGTGGCTGTGGGGGCTGAGAAGCACTGGGAGTGGCAGCCCTGGCTTTAACAGACCTGCAACTGTGCTCCCGGAGCGCAGGTGCTTCCCAGAAAACAAGGGTTCCCAGGCAAGGCTCCAGCTGTCCAGGCTGAGGGCGGTGGGCAGGCAGGGCACATCGGCTTGGAGGAAAGGCTCTGACCCATTGTGCCACTGGCCAGCTCTCCAAGAAAGTTGCCTCTGGCCTCTAGACGGGAAAAGTGTGATGAGGTCACCCAGGTTCTCTACCCTGACCAGAAGCCTAAACACTGGGCCACCAACGTCACACCAGCAACTGGCACAGGACTCCCATTTCAGACAGAGCTACTTCTTTTCCTTCCCTTGGTATCAATTCCTGTAGGGCTTGGTCAGACATCAGGCAGGCACTGGTGCCCTCTCATTTGAGCCAGCACAATAGAGGACATAGGTACCCCACAAGCCTGGCACTGCACAGACAGGGAGGCTGAAGCCAGAGGTCTGGCATCAGGATGGGCAGGAACTCATGGCTTCAGACACTCCTGCTTCTCCAGCGATCAACAGCTGCATCCCAAGGAAGCTGGCCTCAGATTTTGACTGACAAATGGCGTAGAAAACAGGATGCACATGAGGCCCCCCAATTTGCCAGGGCTGCTCACCTGGCAGTCTGACTCAATACCTGGAGCTGCCCAATCACCTGATAGCCAGAGGCAGAGGGGTTTAGGAAGGCTGAGAAAAAAGAAACGGGTGCTCAGATGTCAGCCTCCAGCAGAGAGGGGAGGGGCGGGGGGTCGGGGGGGGGTGGTCCATGCTCCAAGGGAGGCCTGATTCCAAAGACAGGGTTCTCCACTGGCTTCAGTGCTGGCGAAGGAGGGCATGGCTTTTGTTTCCTTAGCGGTTGGCTGTGACTCCTTAAGCATGAAGGTCAGACACCCACAGCTTTCATTCCCATGCAGGTGTAAGCACACAGATGCAGACACACACACACACACACAACTCTGCACGCTGTCCCTGGAGCAAGCATGGAGCCAGGATTAAGAGGGACCCTGAAGGCTGTCCTCAGCTTCTAAAAGAAGCTCTGTCTGAATGTCCCAGTTACAGCAGCCACTGCTTGCATGTGTGGCCAGCTTCATGTCAAGCTCAGAGACAGCTGAGAAGGGCAGTCACCTCCCCACAGCTAGGGAGGTGGTGTGAGGGTGACCTTCATCAGTGCCTTGGGGATGTCAACAGAAGACGGAAGTGATGGCCACTGCACAGTGGAGAGGCATGCCTCGGCAGCAGGCCACCCTAACTCCTTGCTGGCAACTCAGAAACTGAAATGGCTGGAGGCCCTGGTGCCCTGGTATGGGCACCCAGGGAGCTCTTAGCCAAGGGCCTCAACTTCCTATGGCTGCATGGCTCTGCCAATGGTGTCTCTCTTGTCACAATCCCTGAATCCATAACAACGGAGAAGGTTCTGGATCAGATTTCACAAGAATCGAAAAGGATATCAGGGTCACCTGCCTAGGAGAACAGGCCAGCGCTGCTGGGGACCCTCCAGAGTCAAGTGGGCAATGCCATCAGGGTGTGAAGCATCACATTGGCTCCTGGCCACCAAGGAAGCCCTACACAGGCCCCGCTCTTCTGCCTACTATTTGGGATCACATTATTTGAGACAGAAGCCCTGTGTCTTTAGCTCCCAGAGTCTCATGTGTGTGAGAGGCTCAGCAAAGTGAGAATGAGCGGTACTGTTGGGGAGCCACGGGTACAGCCTGTCCCGGGCTGAATGCAGGACCTCCTGCTGGCTCTGGGCTTCCTCTGCACCATACTAGGGTTCAGGATGGTTAAGGGTCAGATAACTGGACAGTACCAAATGTATGGGGAAAGTATGACTGTCCTCCCATAGCTGCAACAACGGCCTCAGGGAGAGCCCTGTTTGTGACACCTACAACTTGAGGTGCTGATGGGGTGGGCTGGGTCAGCCTGCCTGCAGGCCACAGCAACAGTGTGAATACCCCAGGGCTTACAAGCACTGTGACCAGCAGGAGCTGGGTGCCAGCTGTCATGATGGTGGTGGTGAGGAATTGGGCTGCTCCAGTCGCCTGTCCCACCCCATTGTCACGGGCCCCTACCTGCTGGACTCTGGGCGGCGGAGGGGGTGGAGGATGAGCTGGCGCCTCCTGAGTCGCAGTGGCTGGTGCTGCCGCTGGGGCTCCCGCTGGCGGATGGTGGCGATGGTGAGGACAGGGAAGGTGAGCTGTGCTGGTTTATGCATTGAGCCACGGCGAAGCCTACAAGATGAGAGAGAGTGACCAGGCGGGAGAGAACTCATGGGCCTGAAATGGAGTGTCCCCCACACTGTGTCAGTCACACGAGGGGCAAGCACACCGTCCAACGGCCACACTAGGGCTTCATTACACCCTATCCCCAACAAGACACACTGAGGTTTCTGAAGGTCCCAGCCTATTTCCCGAAAGGAGCCAACATCACTGGGCAGCCTCATGGTAGGCTCTCAGCTCTGCCTGATGTACCTATGCTTTGTGGAAGGAATATGCAAATGTGTCCACAGGAGAGACTCCTTGCTGACCAGCCCAGGGGCCCATGTAGACTGGGGTGACTCTTGTGCTGGACACCAGGGGTGAGGGAGCAGCCATGCTAAGGCTGACCTGTGGACTGCCTTTGTCTCATGACGTAGGGGTAGCACCAGTAAGGCAAGGCTGGTGGGGGTGAATCCTTCTGGTTGAACCCAATTCCCACCCTCCAGCCATTACCTTGCATGCACCAGCCAGCCCCAGACCTTGCACTGCCTCAGTGTGGCATGGGCCAGCTCTGGGTTAACACTTCTTCCAGAAGGCTCTCTGGGTCCTGACCTTACCTCTCTTGGCAACTCAGGGGACTGACAAACCCAGGCCCGTGCTGGTGTGCTGAGTAAACTTTTGCTGGGACACAGCCATGGTCGTCTGCTCAGATGTTTCTTGTTTTATGCTCCATGCCTGCTGTGGCTCAGCTTGTACAGCTGTGTGGCGAGCCTGGTGCGGGGCATGGCGTACAGGCTTCAGCAGAGCTGCACTTCTGTGACCCATCTGCTCACTGACTACCATGGGACCCCAGCCATGTCTACATATTCCCCCAGCATCCTTCCCTTATCTAGAAATGAGACCTGCTACTTAACCTTCCTCCTGGGGCTTGGAGGAACCCCGCAACCGTCCAAGAAGAGGCTGTCGGTTCTAATATACACAGGAAGCCATTTCTAAGGCCAAAGCCATTGAAAGCCAGGGACCCAGCTGGGTGTTGGCAGGTGGCCCACACTGGAGGCCTGCTGGGCACAGGGTGGGCTTGGGTGGGTGGCTGGGCACTGTAGCTGCAGCCCTCTTTTGCAGAAGACTTCCTGCTGTAGAGTATGAGTGTGCTGGGAGCTCCTAGGAAGAGCAATGGTGGGACAGATTGTGTGTATTTCTATTTGTGTGTGCGTGGTGAGGCTGGGGGGGGGGTCCCACTCGGATGTACAATGGTAAACATTGGTGCATCCTGACACCCAGCAGGACAGTTCCTCAGGGACGTTCAGCCACAGCCCTGCAGAATCAGTTTTTAGAGCTTCTCATTTCTTAATCACTTGAAATAATAACCCCCTGCTCTCCAGCCCCTGAGTTTACAGCTGTTCACTGGCCTCGAGCATGAATGACTCTTTTACAAATGAAAAGTGTCCAGGCAGCTTTTTCTGAGCTGTCAATTCATCAGTGCCACATAGGTGGAGCTGGGAAGTGTTGTAACAAGAGTCAGGATTCAGTCTCGTATGCATCCATGACAACAGTGCCTGAGTCCAAACGGACAAGTGCGTCACCAAGTTGGTCACACGCCCTTCTCAGAAACCACGTCTTTCCTCTCGCTTACTTTAAAACTCAGGTTAGTTACTATGATGCCATGTACTTGGTTTATTGCCATAACACATCTGGAGTGAGGTGAGTGGAACAGCAGATAAGGTGTAGGGGTGGGCTGGCGTCAAGCCAAATCTGGCCTTAAACTTCCCATTCGCTGAGAGCAGAATAGGGAAGGGGGGACTCCTTGGCCCTCGGAAGGGGCTGGCTGATCAGGGCTCCCCTGGCTTCTCCACACCTGTTACCATTAAACCCCACCTCCCTCCTTTGCATCCTCTTTCCCTTCCCAGTGGCACTGGCATCCATGATGGCCCAGTGACATCTTATCCTTGGCTACCCAGGCTCTCTCCCTAATCTGGGTGGCAAATGCACTGAGGGTGGATCTGCCATGTTAGAAGTCAGGAGCATGAGGGGAAGAACTGAAGATGAAGGCACACCCACGGCCTCAGCACCCCTTCTTCCAGTTCTTGCTTCATCCCAGCTACACGGATCCTGTTGAACTAGCTCTGGCGGGGCATGAGCCAAGTGCACGTGGGTTACCAAGAGACAGCAACCATACATACACGGCTTCCTGAGATCTCCTCCTGCAGATAAGATCCTTGGCCTTCCCTGGGTATTTCTCAAGAAGAGCCTGCGGAATGTGGATCAGAGGGTGCAGCACTGCACGTGCCTACCACCTGTCCGAGCCCACATCTGAGGACTCAGGCTGGTGGGGCCATGTGATGAACTACACACATGCTCGAAGCCCTGGGGGTAGGACAGGTAAGTCAAGATGCTGCACGTATATACTGGGTAGGAATGGCCGGATGAAACTCAATATATGGGATGAAAGATTAAGGATGGGGTGTGGATGTTCAAGATGTAGTACATCACACACACTCCGCCATGGTGACACATTCAGGCGCTTGCCCAGAGCACAGGAAATACCAGGGTAACTGAAGAAGTTCATGGAAAATAGAGTTTAGAGAACCAGGTTACTTGGGGCCCCTGAAGTTTGAGGTCCATGCTCAATTTGCTTCTGATGCGTGCTTTTCATGGGCTTTTGAAGCCCTCATGTAGACCTGGAGGCTAGGAGACGGAACAAAGGGACACCAGGAGTTTCTTATGTATGCTAAGCTTTATTTTCATTTTCTGTGCTTGAGGGAATACTGTTAAACTAAGGGAGGATGAAGGAAAGAGACACAGCTGCCCTGGGGGGCTGGTCAGACTCAAGCTCCCGGCTCTCCTGGCTCCTACCCTCAACTGTTCTGCTCTCTGTTTCATCAGCACCTCCCGGGGCAGAGTTGTCAGGACCTTTGGTGGCAGGTGGACCTATGACAATGGGGAAAGACATCCCAGGCGCTCCAGGAGCCCTGGAGGCAGACAGGGGTCTTCCTATGGCCCTTGGGCAGCTTTCTACCAGTTCTTCTGGAAGAGGAACTAAGGCATAACTCTGGCATTCTTCAAGTGTGAACATACACCACAAAGGTCAGTCTTCTATTTCAGGTCTAGGAAGAGCAGCAGCTCTGGGCTGGCAGTAGGAACGCCAGGTTTGAGTCCAAGTTCAACTCAAAAAGTGGCTCTGAGATCTCGGACATGCTCTCCTCCCTTAGGAGTCTGAGTCTTTGCCTGCTAGACCTGTGGTTATGGGACTCTGCATGCAGAGCTGGCCAAAGGGACCTGGGGCCCACACATGGATTTCGTTTTATTCACGTCCAGTTTACAGCTGGTTGCTGTAGGCATTGCCATGTCCACAAGAGCAGATCTGACTTACAGATCTGGATTTCTGGCTTTATCTAAAATGAAGAGATGTGAACCAGGCGTGGGGCACAGTGCACTAAGCTGTTGCTTGCAACTCACACATCTCCAGTCAGAGTGCTGGTTCCAATCCTGGCTACTCTGCTTCTAATCCAGCTTCCTATTAACCCAAGGCATTAGCAACTGATGAAGGCCCAAGTAGTTGGGTTCCTGACACCCTCATGTGAGACTTGAATGGCATTCTGGGCTCCTGGCTTCAGCCAGGCTCAGCCATAGCTGTTGTGGGCATTTGGTGGTGAGCCAGCAGATGGAGCATCAAATGAATGAATGAGCAAATGGTTTTTTTGTTTGTTTGTTAAAAAGGAAAAGATCTGGTGTCACTGATTATCTTTTGCCCATAGCAGCACTTGGAGATGCCATTCTGACTGAACCGCCAGGCCGCATTTGCATTTTCAGTTGATCATCTTTGCTATCCACCCTTAGATTCTTGGTCAAAGCCAAGGAACACAGGCAAGTTCTAACCCTCAGAGACCTTTAGAGCCAGGTCCCTTTTCAAACCCCCAAATCCTTGGGTAGGTCAGGTGAGCACGTGGACACGGAGTCACGAGCCTCCAGCGGCCAGGCGGTCACTGTCAGCTCTGCTGGGCTGCTTCTCATTCAGGAATTCCCTGGTGTCTCTTTGCAGTCTGCACAAATCTCTCCCCAGCTCCCATAGCTCTTGTTCAGGGCCAGCCTGGGCAGGAGTCTATGCAACAGAGTGGGTACACGGTGCTCTCCCCTGTCCACCTGTGGCCTGTCCAGGGCTGGGGCCTGCAAGTATGCCAAGGTATGCTATGCAACAACTCCTGTTCCTTCAATAGCTAGTGTCTGGAATCCTCTGGGTTGAGAGGGTGTAGAACAGTGTACCTGGCAATGCTAGTTGTCTCCCAACAGCATTTTCCCCTTGAGCTGCAGCCATAGACTCTGTGAGGCACAGCCATGTGACTAAGTTGTGGCCAATGAGCAAGAGAGAAAAATAGCTGTGGGATCTCCCAGAAGGTCCTTTATGAAGAAAAGTGAGGGGTGCCTCCTCCATTCTGCTTTCTTTTCTTTTCTTTTTTTTTTTTTTTTAATTTATTTTATTTTTTATTACAAAGTCAGATACACAAAGAGGAGGAGAGACAGAGGGGAAGATCTCCCATCCAATGATTCACTCCCCAAGTGAGCACAACGGCCAGTGCTGTGCCGATCCAAAGCCAGGAGCCAGGAACTTCTTCCGGGTCTCCCACGTGGGTGCAGATTCCCAAAGCATTGGGCCATCCTCGACTGCTTTCCCAGGCCACAAGCAGGGAGCTGGATGGGAAGTGGAGCTGCCGGGATTAGAACTGGCACCCATATGGGATCCTGGCGCATTCAAGGGTAGGACTTTAGCTGCTAGGCCACACTGCTGGGCCCCCATTCTGCTTTCTGAAGCACGGGTGTGATGGCTGGAAATCTAACAGCCATCCTGGACCATGAGGACACATCACATTAGAGAGCAGAGCACTGTGCAGGAAGGAGCTCGGGCCCCTGCTCCCTCTGTGTTGTCCCTGATTACCAACACCCAGGCTTCTACCAGTGAGAACTCAACCTTAATTGACACAGTTAAGAAAAGGCTTTGTTAGGATGGGCAGGTGACCCACAGCTTCCTGACTCTAAGA